GTCTTCAAATCCCCCACACACGGGATTTGAGGGTCAATTTTTTCCTAAAAGGCAAAATTAGCGACCGTGACTCTATTCGTTCACCAAGCTTTAAAACTTGCACCTTTTGTTCTGAGCCATTCGCTCGCAAAAGTGAACTCTTTACCTTTAAACACCTGAAAAACGTGTGTTTTGCTGGAGAGACTTGACACTTCCGATTCTTATTCCTTAACCCAGTCAGGCAAGGTTTAAACTCCCCACCCCCGGGCACATGCGACATTAAATGCCTAAGGTTTACCCAGGGGGTTGTTGAAGCTTCGAATTGACCGGCGCATGACATTGCAACGGATTGCCTTTATTTACCAACAAAACAACAAATTAAACAACTCACATTTAGCTGATTTTTTTTACTTCACTTCATTCATTTCCTAGTCCCTGTTTCCAGTCCTTTTATTACGTAACAGTTTCCATTTCCGTCTCTCTATTCTGCAAATCCAATAAAGATGTTGATTATCGACATGACAAGCCAAATAAACCGAAAACAAACAAATAAGAAAGAAACAAAGAAAAAAAAAACACCATCAAGAGATCGTTTATCTATTTCTTTTTCTTTTTCGTGAGATAAGCTGCCTGGTATGTTGCAAACTTGTACTACTGGTCTTGTTTGGGTGTTAGGGTCTTTATATGGCGTCGGCTGGAAGGATTATTCGAGAAGTCGTCTGTTGGAATAGGTCAGTGTTTTCTAAAGTGTCATTGGTGGTCTCGTTAGAGATACTCAACAAAAGTAACCAGACTAACAACATTCCAATAAAAGTAACTTCTTCAATAAATCTGAAGAAGACTGTCGCCGTCAAGTTCTCGAAACGTCCGTCTTTTTACTAGCAACAATTCTTTTCAGAGCTTCCCTTATCCCAACCATCAGACTAAAATCTCTTGAAAAATTATTGTTCTTGTTCAAAAAGTATATTACTTATGTTGAGATGGTGTTAAGGAGCTGTTTAGTGCTTAAAACTATTCTCAAAATACAGTAACTTATCTTTTGTTTTGGCGTGATTCATGAAAAAATGACTTATATTTGTTCTACGACGCTTTTTAAATCCAAATACTAATTATGAAAATATTGTGGGTCTCATTGTTCATTGCTTACCCCTTTTGGTTGTCAATGTTTTTGCAAATGAGCGGATATTTGAATCCATGTTTGACTTCGCAGAGTTTACAGTCCACGTGATTCTCTCTTCCGCAGTCCTAAAGACGTTAACCAAAAAAATATATATTCAGAATAGGGAATGAGAAGCTGTATTAATTTGTCGGTTTAAGTTAGTTATTCTTATGTATTTTTTATAAGCTGTGTTACACACTGAAACTAAGAGCACCGAAGCTCTTACCATAAAGCTGTGAAAACAAAACTCAATTGCAAGAGGAACAGTTATTTACTTGTTAGGTAACTTAATAAGTCCAGAGCACAAAGACGCAAGATATATGTATTGCTAAACTGTGAAGGACAAACAATTTTAAGACGAGATAAATTTTAATGAAGAAGTTTTTCATGTAACTTTCCAAAGATTTGATTGAAACAAGATTTGAGAATAAGTAAAAAGAAATGTACTAGAATTAAACACAACGACAAGTAAATAACCTATGAAAATTCTGCAAATGATTCATTTGAGAGACGTGTTTGGACGAGACCTTCGAAGAGGTCACCACATGACGAATTTCTTTCTCACCTCATGTGAAGCTACTGGTATTTTACAGAAGCCCGCTAGTATCTCCATATTTGGGCCTCTTAACCAGAGTTAAGGAAACAGTCGTAGTAGAAATCATACTTTTAGAAGTAGTCGAGCGCAGAATCCTGCAGAATACGTCAAGTTTCTGTTCAAAGAAGCAAAACACTGTATAATTCCTTAAAACCACATGTCACACTGACCGAAGGTGTGAGACAAACATGAATGAATAATTAATTTTCACAGACAGTTTTCATCGCGCCCTTTGCTCCCTGAATAAATCAATCACAACAAGTTCCGAGGGTTTCATATCTTCCCCAAGGCATTTTGGTAGGATTATATTTCAAAGTGAAGGAAGGAAGAGTGATTGTTTGAGGAGATATTTAAAAAATTGTTCAACAAGTTCCGAGGGTTCCATATTTTTGATAGGATTACTAATTATAAACATTTGAAAAAGGTTTGTAGTTGCTTATCATTTCCCTTTGAGGAAACCGCTCCCCCTCCCCCCCCCTCATGGGGTCTGGTAGGTAACTACAGAGGTGGGGTGAGAAGGGTCGGCGGGGTAAAGGGTGAGGGTTGTGGCTCGTAGCCATTTTTGTCTACAAAATTTAAGGCTTCTACGTATTTCAAACCAATATTTCCCGTTTTCAGTGCTCCAAAATGCGATCGCTTCGGTGAACCAATTCTCTGGTTGAAATTGGTGGAATTTGTTGTGAAATCTGTCACACGCTCCAAGATGACCATTTATCAAATACTTTTTACCTAATTGATAAGTTATGCAGTCCTAAATCAATGACTAATTGCGAAACTATTTTACCCAACAATGATAGTAAATGCTTCAAGCTCTATGAGAGTGGCAATGGGTTTACACGTGACGCGTGATGAAGGCCAAAATGGATGTGGTTCACATGAACGTTAGCTACTCCTCGTGTAGGGATGAGCTCTCCGTTGGCACTCTCCTTCCATGCAAATATAACCGAAGCGAGGAAACGCGTCCTTTTAAAGTCAAGAACAGCAAGACAAAAGGGTTTTCAGCAGTCATGATCGATCTTGTAGATTATATGAACCTAAAGTAAAATCGATAACGCCCTCCAGTCTCTTTCCTCTCTACGAGGGATACTGCCATTTTGTATTCTCTCGTCTATCACCAGTCTCCTTTCGCCAAAAACCCGGAAGGAACAACCCACAAGGAGAGCTAGAGTCCTAGACAACAACGGATGCAAATTTCCAAAATGGAACGAAGCCGTCTAAAACCTGACGCTGGTATCAAAAAATTGGACGAAGAAAGGAGAGTGAAATAGGTGGAGGAACTTTTCAAAACAGGGACGTAAGGGTCCGCAATAAGACGAAAGTGTCCAGTCAAACAGTCGCTCAGTCGGTCAGAAAGTCAATCAGTCCGTACTTGGTTAGATACTCCGTCAATCCGTCTTACAGATAGCCCAGCAACCAGTTCATCCATAGAAAATATAATCGGTCAATAATGCTAGCAACAGAGACTTTCTGCATGCCACCCGTCATGTAGTGCAAGTATCATTTCCTGAGCGCGAATTTGCATGGTGCCGCAGGTAAAATGTCCCTTTTTCTTTGTTCAAATCAAGACATCCTCTTGCCCTAAGGTATCCTTAAGTAGATCTTTCCAAGAAACCTCCTTTCAAATTATTGGGACAATTCACATTAGCAAGTTGCTAAGCTAGCTAAAAAAATATCAAACACAAGGAAAAGATTATCACCCGAAAATCAGCGCAGTTTTTTAGGAGTTTCTCACATACCTCTTGATGATTGAACCATACATCTCAATATCCCCCTGAGGAACGCGTTCCCTTTCATTTGTTTCACGACCTCCGTTTCCATCCATCTTTCGTCTATATATCATCAAACGATGGTAGATATGTTTCAAAGACTAGAGATGTTTAGGTGCCCTTCATTTCCAGGTCTTCTAACAAAGCATGCTGTTATTTCCAAACAGAGCTCACTCAAGTCCGCCACTACTGTAGTTCAAAGCTATCCAACGGAGAATCACTACATCACTAGCGGATAATTGTTAACATATATTATTGAGCTATCCACCGGATGGCGACTTATTCAGTGGATAGCGTTATCCGTCCTTCGAACAACCGGGGCAAGGGAGGTCACTTTTCGTTCTCTCTTGTACATTAACTTTCGTGTTTCCTACGAAATATTTTAGAACGTCCGAAGGTTAAAAAAAAACACGCAGATACTTTCAGGTATGTTTATTTTATAGCTTTACTAAAGTTAAGAAGACAAACGTTTAAGTAATCTAGACTGCAACAGTAATTCTCTCAACTATATTTCTTATATTTTCTGTTAAGTTAGTTGTGAGAATTTATAATATTATCAGAACAGTGTTTCCAGTGATGTGGTCATATACATCGATTACTAAATATCCCATTCAAAACCGCTGGAGGCAGTTTGAGTTGGTGATGTTTTCGAATTTTGTTTTGTATTGCTGTGAGCGTTTTCAGTTATATTGAATGTTAAATCACGTATTTAACAAGTAAACAAGCAGTTTCTAACGCAAAAACTGTCCAAGGAAAAGTAAACTACTAGCAAACAGCAGATGAACAAACAATATTTGCTCCGTAAAACAACGATCCAGTTAAAACAATACCGGGAATACTGATCTTTCTCGTATGGCAAACAACGTTATGTTCACCGTCTGCCTCATCACTAAGTCGCACAGGTTCAGCAGTAACTTCTTGTCAGTTGGCTTGCCTTTATGACATGAGGAGTATGAAAAAACGGTGCTGGTATTACGATGTACGCTACAAGCTTCGGCACCACAGCCTGTGTAAAATGTTTTTGAAAAGAGACAAGACCTCCTGGCAAAACTGAGTACGCATACATGACGTACTCAAAGGGTGATAGTTGGTAGCAGCTGCTATCTTCTTCCTCCCCGCCCTCTCCTCCCTCCTCGTGGCTTTCCTCTCCCTCTCATAGAACCATCGGCTTCGGATCCAAAATCTCCCCAGGGTCCATCGTCCATACGTTCATCTGGTCCTCTCCAACCGTCCGGTGGACCTTGATCTATAGAAGAAGAAAAGAACATTTCCTATCTTTTCTAAGAAAGAAAAGCACTCTAGCAAAGCAAGGTACGTTTCAGATTACAAATGTCAAGTAAGCGAGACAAAAAAATTATGTCAATTAAGACGCAAGCTGAGGTACGACATGTTTGTCTTCAGATCACTTTGACACGTATCGTAACAAACCACAATAGAATGTCTAGCCAATTAAACTTTTGTGTCTCAGAAATAAAATGCAAATTTATTAAAGCAACTTGAAACACCAGGCGAGGGCTATACCCTTGATGTATGGGATCAGCTTATCCGAAAATGACTCAGTGCAAAACGACACTCCTTACGTTGAAACGTAAATCACTAACTATACACGGCGTGCCACGAACGACGCTGTAGTCGAGAAAAAAACCTCAATTGTCAAGTCAGTAATTAATGAAATGATCCTCCGCCTTTTCGCTTTTCTTCCTTTTGGTTATTCAATAATTATTTAAATATGGTTCCAGCTTTTAGATATCCATCTAATTCGAACAAAATTAAGTACTGTTAGCAAAGTCCTCCCAGAATGCCGAGACCTCATGAAAATATTCAGTTCGAGACCACCCTAAGCGAGTTTACGCCAACAAAATGCAATGCCGGTTTACTTTCCACATTAAGTTTAAACGCGCTTTAAAAGCCAGCTGCTGAACACATAAACTGTCCATAATCACACTATATAACTGTTAAACGAAACGCAACTCGAATGAATCACCCTAAACATCTTTAACTACTCAGAACCAACATAACCCTTCGCCAAAACAGCAAGCCAAAGCACTAAAAAATCAACACGAGTTGTCAGACCGATGATCTCTCACCTGGGCCCCTTCTCCACTCGTCCTCCGGTCGCAAGGCCTTGGGAGGTCCTCTATCACGATCGTCCCTGAATCCTTCTTGGTCCAGGGACCGCTTCCTGCCCCGTCTGTCTGGAGGTCCTTTCCACGAGTCTTCCCCAAGACCAAGATCGAAATCAAATCCCTGCTGTCCGAGAGGCAAAGGTGGAGGACTGAGACTCATCAGCGGCCGTATGGCTGGTTTATTCTCATTTGCGTTAGAGGGGTTTTGATCTGGTCTTGATGGGGGCCCTCCTGGTCCCCTCATCATGCGGGGATCCCGAGGCTCATCTCGCTGTTGTACACGGGGGTCGTGCGGGGATCCCCAGCTATCTCGTCGGCTAAAAAGACCTAAAGGAAAAAGCGTTAAATTCACAACTAACATTACGAACATAGGTATGGTTGAAAAGTAAGAATTCGCACACACTCGAGAGACACTTCTACCGGTCGCTTCATCCACTGAAACATGGATAAGCTCCGAAGGATAGAGGAGGGAGCTTCTACTCTGTTATCTGATTTGGCCTATTTTTTCAAACTCGTCCATCCAACCACCTACTCAGTACAGGAACCAGACGCTGATTTTATCAACGACTTTCTGTTGTAAATGAACCTTGCACTCGTTGCAGATTCAAAGACAAAAACTCAGTCACTAAACATTATAACAGTCAGAAATACTTCTAACCAGGTGGCTCATCAGGGCCCCTTCCCTGTGGGGGCTCATCTGAAGGGGCTGCCCATCTGGGATCCCTATTTTCGTGCATTCCTTGAACACCGCTCTTAAAACCTCTTGAACTAAGTTTGCTAAGGAATGGATGACTTTGTGGATGAGGGAAGCTTTTTTGATTTGGCCCTTCCATATCAGAGCCATGACGAGGTGGCGAGTCATGCCCCCGTCCTCGCTGAGCACCTCTCCTGAAGCCCCTCGAACTGATGTCATGTGGATGAGGCCTGCGTGGATCACTCATATCAAATCTCGGTGACAGCTCGTTTCTGTCTCCTTCACGTTCATTAGGGTGTGGTCGCCAAGATCCTTGGTCTTGTCTGGGGTCCTTGTTGGGTCCAGGACCTGTACCCATTTAAAAGGAACAAAATAAATAAACAGAAACGATGTAATCATTCGATGGTAAATCCATTGCCTTAGCAAGTGTGCTGTTAGCGTTATTGTTTGTCTTTGAAGAGTCAATGACAAATACATGAATGTGGAGAATTACCAAATTAATCACGAGACTACGGCATAGACCACACAAATGCAATTAATTCATCCTTTCAAAAGCGCTCTATGGAGTTTTATGTGTGATTGCATGCATGGATGAGAAATGGTCACTTGACGCTTGTACGCTCAGCATGTCTGCGCACAAGATACCACATTTGGAAGGTATTTGCCACGACCCGTGTATGATTAACACTTGATGGCTCAAAAACTGGTTAATTCCCATGCTCGCATCGAGAATAGGACAAAATTTTTAGTTGTGCCCAACAAAATTCAAAACTATAGATTGCTCTGCTACACCAATTTATTATCTACGAAGAACTGCTACTTTTCCGCGAAAGAAACAATCCTGCCAATGTACCTAGACGTGGGAAGTCATTTCCTGTTGGTCCTGCTGTGCCTGCTGGAGGTCCATTAGGCCCCTGCAGGAGTGGTTTGGGCTGCTGTGGTGGTGGAGCTCCAAGTAATCCAGGCCTTGAGTCCATCTCAAGATTCTTAGGAGGTGATCCTAGGAGTCCTTGCCTGTCAGACATTGGACTGTGAAACCTGTCGCCAGGAGGCCCTCTAAAATTTGGTCCACCCTCATCGGGCCTGAAGTCCCTACCATGGTGTCCAAAATCATTAGGGCCCTGCTCACGCCAATCAGGAGCACCTCTGGGCTCTTCCCAAGACTCTCTTCCAGGTTTCCCAACATCAAAGTCCCCTCTGGGTCTACCAGGAGGAAACTGAGAATGATTCCCTTGAGGTCCATCAATTAGTCTTGGATCTTTCTCTGGTTGGAAGTTGTTGAGTTGCAAATGTCTTTGGGGAGCCGGCGGTTCAAATGGCCCCATGTGGTTTCTTTCTCCAGGCCTTGCAGGCTTGAAAGCCGGCGCATCTGGCCTTAAAGATGAATTTCCATTTTCAACAGCTGGGGTTATTTCTCCCAGGCCTGGAATTCCTGGACTATTTTTGAAGTTTGGTAAAGTGAACCCGGGATTCTGTGATTCTACCTGCCGTGGTCGGGTAGGGGTGGCCCTGTTTGTTAGTGAATTACCAGGGCCGAATGAAGGACCTGCAACAGGAAAAAAAAACAATACTATAAGGAAATTCTGCGGGTAAGTGATAGGTGATGACCTGATGATATTTTTCAATAGGCTAATGATAGAAGATATATAGATTGATTAAATCATTAAATTTAATCAATATATTTATCTTCTATCATTAGCCAATTGAAAAATAGTGAATAAGTGGCGTATATCAAAAAGTAAGGTGGTGGCATTAGACTTGCCAGAGTATCAATTTTTCTCTTTCCTGTCGGAACAGTTTTAAGTCCAAGGATGACCCTTGACATACTCAACATTTTTACAATACCTCCGTGATAGCTACTAAAGTAGCCAGTTACTTATTACTCTCAGTGGAACTTTGATGTCTTCCGAAGAAGAGAACACATGTGCACCACACTTAATAACCAACCTTTTTCTCCCAAATTGTATCGGTCAATATCTGGAACATCCTCAGTTGGGTTCAATGCTGTGTCCATTCCTGGAATGGCTGTAGTTGTAATACCTGGGTGGTCTCCATCTGTGGAGATAATATCATAGAAATATTAGTCTATTTTTTTCAGAAAGAATGTTTGACAGTAAGAAATATTTGATCCGACCTTCTCCCT